GTCTTGGACATCTTGCGATTGAGGGGATTATTCTTTCCTTCTGTTGTCTAATGTTAGTGTAGGGGTTTGTAGAGAGACTACAATTGACATTGGACTTAAGGCAAAGGATGCTAGGTGAGCAGGGATGCCCACTTCCAGATACTTTAAACCAGGAGTGGGGAATCTCAGGCTCGGAGGCCTTCCCATCTGGTCCTCAGAACTCTCCCTAAGGCCCTTTACTGACCCTGCATTTCCGGGGTTCTTGAGGGTTCTTGCCTGCTTGGAAAGTGTCAGAGAATCATAGAATTTGTAGAGTTGGAAGGGATTCTTGCATGTCTGGATAGAGGATAGCTAGAGAGGGACGTGTCCATGTGGCAGCCCTCTACATTTGTTGCACCACCACTGGCATGTGGTCCTTGGATGGTTGCCCAGAAAGGGATGCAACCCTCAATTCTCCGCACCTAATAATAAACACAATAAACTAGAGCACCTACAGTTCAATCAGTTTGTGAATCTCAGAAATCAAGGCTGAAAGTGACCCATTCCCTGTCTCACCAGAGTGTTATCTAGCCCACGGGTAGTGGGACCCATTTGGCCTTCTAGATGTTACTGAACTACAGCTCCAATCAACCCTGGCCAGTCGGCCATGATTGCTAGGGGCAGATGGGAGGTTGTAGGTTTAGCAATATCCAGGGAGGTCAAAAGATCCCCCACCTGCTGTTCTAGCCCCTTTAAGCCAGAAGTGGCTTTAGCTATTTAGCTTTAGCTTTAATCTTATTTTATATAGTTGGCATTTATTACCCTCCTTTTGGGGGTGTTATGGGGTGTTAGGGGAGGGTTGTCCCTCTAGTGGGGAACACATTGGGCTCCTTCTGGGGTATTTGTCGCACCTTTGTCCTCTCACCTGTGTCTACCTCCTTAGAGCTGCCCCAGATGGCTGTGGCTCATTGACAACTAAGAGAATGGGGTTAGCCCATGCTAAGCGTGAAGAAGAGAGGCTCATCACCTAGAACTCCCCCTGATACCTGATCTAACCATCTCCTGCCTTGGCCTGCCTGGTGTTGCTGAAGTACAGCTGCCATCAGCCCCAGTATGTGCAGTGACCAGTGATGATGGCGACTGAAAGTTCAGCAACATCTGGCAGCCCAAAGGTTCCCGACACCAACACTACTGAAATAAATGGGAGCGCCCAGGGATCACTACTGCAGTGAGACAATGGCCTCGTCTCCTTGTCCCTCTCAGCACTGCCCAACCCAAGTTTCCTGAGTTCTCGTGGTTCTATTCCCACTTCCTTGTGGAGGAAGAAAAGATGGCAGTTAACGATTAGAGACCAAGGTTTACGTTTTGCTTTTATCGTGCCCTTCCTCCAAGGAGCTCACATTCTACCTCACCCCAGCAGCCTTGTGAGGTTAATTCAGGTTGAGATATATCTATGATCATCCACTGATGAACCACTGTAATCTTCACATAGGGGAAATAATAACCTTTACTTAGACTAGAAAGGGTTTCCAGTCTTCCTTAAAATATTCTAAATTTGTATCTTTTAACAGTTCCATCCATTTTGGCATCTCTGCAATATGCCAAGATTTTGATCAGGTGATCATATCAAAGGGGATTGTGAGTTGGGCCCACCCGTACCTGGAGATGCCAGAAATTGAACCCGGGTCCTTCTAAATGCTAAGCATGTGCTCTGCCACTGAGCTACAGCCTTTAAGGGGGGAGCAACTACCAGGACGCATTTGACCAACACTCTCTCCTTCCTAAGTAAAGTTAGGGTCAAACTGCACTTCCCCACGATCAGGGGAAACACAAAGGGCCAGGCTGTCAGGGATGCAGGTCAGCATGAAGAAGCAAAGGCAGTTTCCAGTGCTAAGTCAACTTTTTATTCAAGGAAATGAACATACAACTCAGTGACACTTCCCAGTAGGTCTTGCCCCTGTGCAGCAGTTGTCAGGACTGACAGTCCCTGCCTTCTAGGGCTCCTCCTCTCCCCAGCAGTCTCAAACAGCATCTGAGCATCTTTGGCCTCTGTTCCACTCTCCTCATTATTCTGGGTTCTTGGAGACAGGGCTGGAGGGGAGCTTGTCACAGCAGGAGAGGGAGACTCCCTAGATTCCTCAGCAGTCTCTTGAGGCCCCTCCTCTGCTTCAGCCTTGGAGTCTGAACTGCTCCCTTTCACAAGTTCTTCCTGCTCACGAAACTTTGTTGCCCCTTCAGCATCCAGATCCTCCTCTCCATATACTCCTTCTGACCTCCCCTCAGTGTCCAAATTGCAGAAATTGGCCTCTTTGCGTATGGTGACCACTGACACATGGCTTTAAAAATAGAAAAGAGACTAATTTGCAAATGTTGTATATGTATGCACATTTAAAAATGATTGCTACCCTACTGAGTCATACAAAATAGAATGTTCTCTCAGGGAAAAAACAAACTTAAGAGTTGCGAAGAAATCTGCTGCAAAAGGCTTCCACTTCTGACGACTCAGTCACTGCAACCTGAAAGAGCCATTGCACAAACAGTTTCACACAGAACACAATACAGATTTCCTCCCTAGCCAAGCAAGGGATACTCACCTAAATGTATGTCAATCATGGAATACCATTTCGACTAAAGCAGCACTGTCCTAATGCTGGTGACTCTCGCTGCAGGGTTTTTCTTGAAGTAACAAGAGCTCTTATTGATACTGCATCTTTCTCGTCAACTGAACATATTTGCTTCAGGTACAGTGAGCTCTGGGAAGCCTGAAGAAAGGAGGAGCTGGAACAAAAGAAGACGTGTTCTCCTACCTGCAGGTGAGTCTCACTGTGGTGACACGGAATAGGGCCTCTTCTGATGACTCAGTCACCGCAACCTGAAAGAGTCTTAGCACAAAGAATTGTAGACGGAACACAACAGAGATTTTCTCCCTAGCCAAGCAAGGTATATGCACCTAAATGTACTTCAATCCTGGAATACCATTTTGACCGCCATTTTTGATTGAAACTAGATAAGCCATTAATCTAGAGGGGCAGAACAGAGAGATGAGAGTCAGATTTAAATCTCTGCCATTAAGCTTGGCGTGGAAAGAGGAAAGATTGCTCAATGCTCACCCTTTCGTTTGTCCATTTGAGGTGTGACTTGGCAGCTTCTTCAGTTGGGTTACAATATAGAGTCACTAGTTTGTCCCCAGCCACCTTCCACCAATCCTGCAGAAAATAAGTTTTGTGTTGTTGTTTTTTTAAAAGCTTTTCTTACCACCGTGACTTCTGGGACTCAGCCGGAAGAGCTGGCTTCATCTGAGTGTTGCAAGATCTTTGGAGAGAACTGCGAAGAGACCATCAGAAAAGAAAATGGGAAAAAGGAGAGACCCATACAAAAAGCATTGCCCTGGAAAAAAAACACTGAATGGTGCAACGTGAATTTACCTAAATCAGCACTGTCCTAGAGCTGGTGACTCTCACTGCAGGGTTTTTCTTGATGTATCAAGAGCTCTCACGCACATTGCATCTTTCTCATCAACTGAACAGATCTGCTTCAGGTACAGTGAATTCTGGGAAGCCTGAAGAAAGGAGGAGCTGGGACAAAAGAAGAAGTGTTCTCCTACCTGCAGGTGAGTCTCACTGTGGTGACACGGAATAGGGCCTCTTCTGACGTCTCAGTCACCGCAACCTGAAAGAGTCTTAGCACAAAGAGTTGCAGATGGAACACAATAGCAGGGGAGCGCAGGTATCTTACACCCTTGACCGAAGAACGCTACACTCCTCCAATCTGGGATGGTCGTCCTCTTCCACCGAGTGCGCCACTTCGGGAGGGATGCACATGGAGCGGTGAGGGATACCCCCTTAACACATTTGTCAGTGAAATCATAGGCCATGATTTTAGAGGTATTACTACCACAGCCACATTACGTACCAGTGATAGTTTTGCCTGCCCTGTTGTATAGTTACCTTTTGACGTCCGTTTCTCATTGATTATGTAATCTTGTCACTGTTGCTGGAAAGGCCAGTCATTTCAGTACAGCTCTACTCACTACAACGCTTCTCAAGCATTCGTTCTCCCTCCACCGGAATCCCCCACTTGCAAGACACACTGGAGACATAGTCCAGAGCTTAAGGCTCCATTTTAAGATGGGAATATACAGAAAGGAGAGACCAGTACAAAAGCATTGCATTGAAAAAGATCACTGAGTAGTCTTCATCCAAAGACTAATTAGTTTGTAAGGTAAATAAAACGTTAAGACTTTAAAGTGTCTTAGCACAAGAATTGCAGGTGGAAAAGAGATTTTCTCTCCAGCCAAGCACGAGATACTCACCTAGAAGCCCTTCAGTCGGAATACATGCAACTGCATTGTTACTTTAATTATGATGTAGCGTTTCAAGTTTACTTGTTAGGTATTTGCACCTGTCACCACTTCTGACAAATCAAGAGTATTTAAAAGTTACCTTCCTTCAACTGCAGCGCTAGTTTCCAGATGGGAAGTTACTGGCAAAGGAAGCTGACTGCTAGATCTGCTTTTTAAATTGGTATTTTAAATATATTACCTTCAGTGCTAGAGGATCCAAGTTTTTTGTATAGAGTCAACACTTTGTGTTGTCTCAGCAATGAGCTAAATAGCTGTTCCTAGAAGATGCTTAGGAAAAATAAAATAAAATCCAAAATCCTTGGTTATTCCCACTAGATAATCACGTTACACATCAGGGTAATTTTGCCTGGCCTGTTCCATAGTTACCATTTGAGCTCCATTTCCCATATCTTATTGTAATCTTGCAGGTTCTGCTGGAAAGGCTTAGTGGAGTTGATGTTCTCGTCTGCTTCCTCATTTGATCCTCACAAGAACCCTCATTTGATCCTCTACTGCGGGAGGCAGTAGAAGACAGAAGTGCCTGGCGTGCTCTGGTCCAGGGGGTCACGAAGAGTCAGACACGACTAAACAACAACAACAATAACTTGATACAAGCAAAACACACAATATTAGATCATTCTCTAGGTCTAGTATTCTCTAGTATCCTTCAATCGTCTGGGTGTCATCCCTGGGGGGGGGTGACATCGCCCTGCCCCGCCGGTGCACATCTAGCTCCACCTCTGGGGTTAAATCCGGTTTAAATTGGGGGTCGGGCTGGCATTTTGGTTACATGGGAGAAAGTCCCACCAAATTCAGAATAGCTTCCTTCAGCATAAGCGCGCAGAGCGCTCGGGTGTCGAGCCTTAGGTGACGATCCTCTCTCCGCCAAAATTGACCCCGGAGGGAGAAGGGCGACCCACTGACTTCCCCCGGCCTCGCCAGATCCCCGCTGAGAAGTCGCGCGCAAGAGCGCAGCACGCTCCCCAGTTCAGTGCGCGCTGCCTCAGGATCGCAGCCGGGCGGTGGTGGAGGAGGAGGAGCGCCAGGGGCCCGCCTGCCCTCGCCACCCGCTATAAATGGCCCTCCGGAGGCGCCGGGAGCACAACTTTGGCCGGGCGCCGGGCGCCCCCTCCGGCACGTGGGTCATGCAGGCCCCCGAGGCGCGCCCGGGCGGCGCTGCCCGCCCCAAGCAGCTGACCTCTTTCCTCATCCGAGACATCCTGCGCCCCGGCGGCGCCCCCGCCTCGGAGCCCGGCGGGGAGGCGCGCCCGCCGGCGCGGAGGGATCGGCCCGGGGCCAGCCAAGCCCCCGAGAAGCCCGGCGCGGCGGACGCGACAGGTAAGGGGAGGAAGGAGGGCGGGAGCCGCGGGCGGAGGTCGGCCCGGACCTTGCTCAGTTCCCCGCTCTGGGCTTGGAAGTTCTCGGAGCAGCCGCTCAGCCTGGCCCACCTGGCAGGGGTGTTGCGCGCGGGGGAAAATGGCAAGTGATGCTGCTCCGCGCCCCTGGGAGGAGGGCAAGGGCTCGGCGACAGGTGAGAGACCGATAGGTGGCCCGCAGGGCTGCAGGACCTTCAGCTCACGGATCGGGCAGCGGCTGCCGTGAAGCCTGTCTGTCCCGAAGTGGGGGAGCAATTGCGTGTTGGGGAACTGTTTTGCAACTTTTGTAAACTCTTGTCCATATCTTAAAGAAGAGGTCCCTGCAGGAGGAAAACTAGCATGATCCCTGTAGTGTGGCCTCTGTCTGTCGTGCTAGATTTCCTCTTGCAGGAAGGTTTATATATGGGGGCTATTAAAGAAATGTTTTCGTTGCCCCATTTGCGGCCTGAGATGGTGCGACCTGTCCTGTCCCTTTGCTGCCCGAGTCTGCCATGTGAAAGGCACAATAAGCTGAGAGCAGCTCACAGTCCCTCGGGGTGAGCTTTGTGGTTGAGGGGGGGATTTGATCTCTCCAACTAAGCCCAACGCTCTTAACCACAACACCCCACTGCCCCATTTGCACCTTACATCTAAAGCAGTATTTAAATAATCACAGATTTCCCTAAAGAATCCTGGGAATTGTAGTTTGTTAAGGGTGCTGAGAGGTATTTGGGACCCCTTGTCCCACCACAGAGCTGAGCAAACACTCCCAAAGTTGAGAAGAGGGATTGATTGTTAAACCACTCTGGGAATGGCACCTCGGCTGGGGAACAGGGGTCTCTGAACAACTTTCAGCAGCCTTGATAAACTACACTTCCCAGGATTCTTTGTGTGGGAGTGGAATCCATGATTGCTTAATATGGTAGATTGCCATTTTTACATGCATGGTTCAGAGGGGGCCTTATAAGCAATATGCAAAGATCAAGAAAATACACAAAATGCTGTGTTGTCATACACACATCCCATGTGCAGTGTGATTGTGTGGTTTTCAGTGCAGGATTTGCTGGGGAGATCAAGGTGGCCCAAACATGCCATTTGGTTGTAGGTTGTGTGTGTGTGTGTTTCCTTCCTTCCTTCCTTCCTTCCTTCCTTCCTTCCTTCCTTCCTTCCTTCCTTCCCTCCCTCCCCTCCCTCCCAATTTTTGGTATTGTTTAAATAGGTCATAACTCTCCCCTTTCTGCTTCTCTACTAGATCAGTCTGCAGAGGCCTTCCTCTCTCATTCTGAGAACACCCCCAAATCCTTACCGAGACTCCCAAAGCAGCAGAAGCGTTCCCGGGCTGCCTTCTCCCATATGCAGGTCATAGAGCTTGAGAAGAAGTTCAATCACCAGAAGTACCTGTCTGCACCTGAGCGAGCCCACCTAGCCAAGCACCTGAAACTCACCGAAACCCAAGTGAAAATCTGGTTCCAGAACAGAAGATATAAGACCAAGAGGAAGCAGCTGGCCTCAGAATTTGGCGGACTTGATAAGAACTCGGCAATTCCAGCCTTCAAAGAACGTGACTTCTCCAGAGCTACTCTGGCCCTTTCTGTGTACCACAGCTACCAGTATAATCCATATGTCTACTACCTGAATGGCTGGAGTCCAGTCTTGTGGTAACTAATATACTGAGTGATCTACTTGCCACAGGGTCTAAAAACACTCTTCAGCCACCACCCAGCCACTGACTTTGCTACAGTGGGATAGATTGCAAGTCAGACTTTGCCAGAGAGAATTGGCTTCCTCCTGTTTTATTTTTCCTCCTCTATCTTGGGACATCCAGGGAGCTCACATGGTGCTCTTGAGCTACAGCTATGGATAGTGCTGTGTTTGCTTCCCATGGTGCAATCTGGGTGACATGCAAAATAAATATTATAAAATATGCATCCATTCCTGTAAGGGATCACATCTTTCCTCGAAAGTCAGTCTGCAAAGTAATTCCCGACCTGCATATAATGTGCAGCACGTTTCACGTGTAGGGAGAGAGATACTACTATATTGTGAGAAATGCATTGAATGATGGAAACTCCTCAAGTGTTCACCCCTAGAAGAGGCTGCCTGCTTCAGGGAAAGACCAGCGCTCAGCAGGACAGCACATGTTTTTTGTGCAGAAAGCCCCCAGTCCAATCCCTGGCATCTCTAGTGAGAAAGATCGGGCAGTACAGCAGTCTTGAACCTTTTCTGGCCTGACACCCCCCTTGCCCCCAAACATGGATTTGGGGACCCACTTCTTAATTATTAATATTCTTTAAATTATCAATTTGTATGGTGGCCGGGCTGCTTTTGTGGTCTGCCTTAAGTCAGGCCAGTGGTGCAGAGAGCCAAGCTGATGCCATCCAGATGTTGTCAGACTCCAACTCCCCCCATCTCTGGCTATTTGCCATGCTGGCTGAAGCTGATGAGAGTCCAGCCCATCTGGAGGGATCCAGGCTGACTGTCCAAGCACTCCTGGGAAGGGATAAAGCTCAGGGGTAGAGCAGTTGCTTTTCATGAGGAAGGTCCTGGGTTCAAGCCCAGCATTGCCAGGTAGGGCTGGGAGGGAGATTCCAATAGTCTGACTTGGTATAAGGTGGCTTCCTATAACCCACCATTTGAGGCTGCAGATGATGGGTGGAGAAGGACCTTTGCCTGAGACTCTGGAACAGTGTCGGATCTCTAAATATTGTTGGGACTCCAGTTGCCCACCAGTCCCCTAGCCCAGTGTTTCCCAACCTTGTGCCTCCAGATGTTTTTGGACTACAATTCCCATCATCCCTTGCCACTGGTCTTGCTAGTCAGGGATGATGGGAGTTGTAGTTCAAAAACAGCTGGAGGCACAAGGTTGGGAAACACTGCCCTAGCCAACATGGCCAAGGGTTGGGGATCCCATAATGTGCTATTTAACCGTGTTTGGTGGGTACCACATTGACTTCTCTTGCTATGAAGAGATGCTGGCAGCCACGGTAGACAACAGTGGGCAAGAGGGCCAAATAGTCTGATTTGGTCAAACCCAACTCCCTGTGTTTCTTTGTTGTGTCACTGTATGATGAGCAGTTTCCTATCACAACAGAGAACTCCAATCAAGTTTCATGCATTTCTTTCAGTGCAGAGGTACAGCACCTTCACACTGCCTTTTGTGTTTCTGGGTGAATTACTGCTGTGGCTTTGCTTTGTTTTTATGTAAAATGTATGCCCAGAGCATTTATGCAAGACTGTAGAAAGTTGCCTTACACAGAATCAGACCACTGGTCCACCTAGTTCAGTATTACACTGACTAGCAGTAGCTCTCTAGAGAGGAATCTTTTCTTACCTGGGGCTTTCTTGCACTCTGCGGCTGAGCAGAGATTTAACTTTTTGCTTTTTCTTTCCCAGAAAGCAAATCTCTTCTGGGATATGAGATGGAGCATGTATTCAATTTTATTGCCATGGAAGGGTGTCTGTGCTTTGGCTAAGACATCAGGAAAACCCTGTGTTTAAACAGAGGCAAGAGAGAGTGAGCTTCCCTCAAGGAAAAAATCTGTTAGGTGGGGATGGAAGGCTCTCTGTTCCCCAGCCTTCAAATACAGCTGTTTGGGGTGGTTTCTTCTACCTCCATTGTGCTTGACTTATGTGGCTGCGATGGTGGTGTAGATGTTTGCGAAGTGGCCAGCTCTGAATAGTGCTGCACACAGCTCCCCATCTTTCATAACCTTTAGGAGACATCTGAAGGCAGCCCTGGGTGGGATTTTTTTTTAAATATTTAATGTTTTGTCATGCTTTTATATATGTTGGAAGCCACCCAGAGTGGCTGGGGCAACCCAGTCAGATGGGGCAGGCTATAAATAATAAAATTATTATTATTATTATTATTATGGAATAGGGTGTCCCTATTTTCATGAGAGAAATGTTTGAGGGTATGTACAGTTCCTTCTGAGAGCACATACCCTCAAGTGTGCCACTTTTCCAGGGACAGTCCTGGAATTACAGAAGCTGTCCAGTTTCACTGGATTTTTTCCTTTTTTCCTCCCCTCCATGTCTTGGAGAATATAATTAAAAAGTGTGACGCATGTTTTAGGCAAGTATTCATCTCAGAAGCAAACAGCAGAAGAAGAGCAACTGTTCTGCTTCATACTCATTCTCGTAAATGTCCAACATCCTTACTGCAATCTTTAGAGCAAATGCAGGTATTAGTCGTGTTTGTAGGTGAAACAGAGCATCACTGAGAAGTGATCTGGCATATGAAGAACTTCCTATAATTTTGAAGGAAAGGCTCACCAGTCCATTTTCAATTCTTTAATTGCAATGCTTTAGCAGCCAGCCATTTTTAAGGAAACACATGGAGTGTTTGATTCCTTATTGTAAATGGAACCTTATACTGTCAACACAGAAGTAAGTCCCACTATAATCAGTGGAGCTTACTCCCTGGTATGTTCCTGATCATTCTCACAGTTTTCATCATCATCATCATATTATTGATTATTTCTGACATATTACTATATCCCACCTTTTCCCCTGAGCAGGGACTCAAAGGCAGTTTACCAGCTAGAATTTTATTTCATCTAATTATATGTGGAAGGTGCTGACATGATTTTCCACTCAACCACACCTTTTTATCTTAATTTCTGACAATTTAGTATCCCGTGGAGCGCCAGCTACATTTCGTACATGATCCCTTCCCTCACACATTTTTTCTTTACAAACAATCCTGTGAGGGAGGTTTGGTGGAGAGGCTGTAATTGGCTCAAGGTGACTGATGTAGATGTGTATATGACACCTATGTGTTTGGCAAGATCAAACGTAGGGGAACCTCCTGGCATGGAATAGGATGTCCCTCGTTTCATGGGAGAGATCTTGGAGGGCATGAGAGCATCAACACATCAAGTCCTCTTGCTCCCTGGGGACTTGTGGAAAGTGCATTCAAAACCTGTGGTAACAATGAGCCTTGCACACCAGCCATGCTAAGCTGTGGACAGCTGAACTTTTAGAAGTTTAAGAAGGAAAACGATTAGAGGAGCAAACACAGCCTGTAGCCATTAGACTGCCTCACAAGTACTTTTTATTGGCTTTTTTAAAAGTGCTTGTGCGTGGATTTCACATTTAAAACCTGCCCAGAAATGGGACAGAGCAGACTTCAGGCTATATATACACCATACATTTAAAGTACATGAGTCCCCCCCCCCCGCCCAATCCAAGAATGCTGGGAACTGTAGTTTGTTAAGGGTGCTGTGAATTATAGCTCTCTGATGAGTAAACTGTTTTTGTTCCTTACTTCTACTTTCTGGGGTACCTGACAGAGCACTGAAGCAAGGCCTGCACCTTTCTTTTATTTTCTTTTATTGTAGGTTTGTTTGTCTTACGCAGAAGACACAGCTCCCTGTGATGGCAGTAAACATGCATCTGTTCCGTGATGCAGTCCTCTCTTCCACACATAATTTCTCTTCTCACTAAAATCAAGCATATTTGAGGGAAGCCCCCCCCGCCCCCCCGCCAGCCTTCTCTGACATGCAGAAGCAGGAGCTGCTACCTTCCGTTTGAAGTGGTGCAATCAGAATCAGTGTTAGTGACTTATAAAAAGGCGGGTTGCTCAAAATCACACAATTTATGCACCATAAAAAGACCAAATCCAGCCTGTAAGCAAATAATATGCTTAGTTGCTTCCTTTAGCATAGTTTATAATCCAGTTGTTTGCATATTTACTTGGAAGTAGGTCCTGTTTTATTAAGTGAAGTTTACTCATGTGTATATGTTTCCAGGCTAATGAGTCAATCTTCTGTATCCCTACTCAGAAGTCCAAGTGAGTTCAGTTAGGCTTCAGATAAGTTTTGCTTTTCAGAGCAATCCGATACATCTTCAGCCAAAAGCCAATCCTTTTCCACACCGTGTTCCATGAGACCTATTCCAAATAAGCCTGTTTGTTTAGAATTAACCTTAATCTGCCTTAATCAAGAGATGCTGGCACTAATCCATGGTAGAGTCACCTCAAGAAGTTGTTTGTTTTATTCTTTCTGTTCGTTTCTCCAAAGAACAATAAATTGAGACAATAAGCTGTATAAGCTTCCCAGATAAAGGCATTTTTTACTTTTCTACTATTGTTGGAATTGACTCTCTTGACAGCCACACAAAATGTTATGCATATCAGCAAGAAGTCTGACTGAACAATTTATATGTTAAAACCAACTTTGGAGTTCTGGATTTCACAAGTATATCAGCAAGTGTCGGAGCTCTGTGTTAGCCTTTCACACAGCTAGATGTGCCACTCATGAGCACAAGAATAATTCCCATATCTGACGAACATTCACTAACTGTGCAATCCTATAGGTGGGACACTTGGAAGTAAGCCCTGTCAAGTTCAACAGGTCTCTCTGAGTTCAGTGGGACTTACTTCTGACTAGGCATGCATATAACTGTGTTGTAAACCCCTAAGAAGCTTGTTTGATGTCAGAAAGCTGCTATGTTGTGGGAGGGACATTTAGACTATATGCACACTAACCCATTTCTTACACAAATGTTTCTTCTAGGGCTGCTGGTTGAGTCAGGTTTCTTAGCTGCTTAGTCCTCTGCCTTGCATTTTAAACAATCAATTGTATATTAGTGTGCATACTGCTAAAATCTCAACAGAAGTGCCTTTGTGAGATATTGAAGGAAGTGTGAGATAAGTTATGATTGAATAAATGTTGCTGTTTGCTGGAAGGAAAAGCTATCTTGAGTATTTTCTGTTTAATTTCTCATTGCAGTCATGCAGCAGAACCAAAATCACCTCAAGAAATACAGAGAGATGGAGTGGGAGCGGGAGACAGATGTGTGCCCTTCAATCCCAGCCTCACCAGTTAAAATGTATATCCAATCATCAGTGAAACCAGGGACTTTCAGATTTTTTCCCCTGAGAAACATTGAGGTTCCTTGAAAGTTTCTCTAGACCAGGGATGGAAGGA